CGAGTTCCCGAATTCATCAATTGAGTGTCCATCGCATTAATGGTTCTATTTACCACATTTTCTGCATTTTCAATTTCGATACGAATTGGAAAAAAGTGTTTCATTCATTGCCATTGATTTAAAGGATTCAGCCATTTCAAAGGTTCATGTTGAATGTAATGCCGTTTAAATTTTTCTCGGCCTGTTATATTTCATTACATTTTCATGATATTCCGCGAGTCGACCTTTTTCTTTGTCGTGCGCTTATTTATTGGGCTGAAATATGGTGGCGTTTTTCCAAGCGCATAAATTCAGTCAATAAAAACAACTCAGATAGTTATTGCTTCGAAGAAGGCTATCCGCCGGTAGAAATCAGCATTCCGGCAGCTGCTTAGCTTTGATTCACATAGAGACAAATCCTGTCAAAGAACCGTAGTTATTGCAGAACCTATCGTTCTCATAGAACCTTACTCCAGTCATTCCAATCAACCATACCTTTTTGCTCAATTTATAACCATATTTTACTGAGTGGGGGTGACAAGTACTTCGGAAATTGACAAAAATCTTTTTTATTCCAAATCTGCTGAATTGGAATCAGAAAATCGTGAAATCGCATCAAAGTTGTAAGCATCGACACAAAAAATCGCTAACTAGTTATATATTTTTGTTTTTTGCTTCGAACGTTGCTGAGATCCATCGCTGCGATGTTGTGTTCCAACCCTATATTTAGTTGGAACTAATCTGTAAGTTTTTTAGACGCTTAAAGGCAAAAGTCAGGCTCGTGTTTGGGCATTATGGCGCCTGAAATTGAGTGTAGAGATGGGAGGTGGAACGACAGTGAAGAAAAAAAACCGTCGACAACACCGAAATCGAAACCCCTTTCCTTCTAGCAGTGAAGGAGGCTTGCTTGGGGAGAGCCACGTCCAAACGAGTTTTCTGGATATGCCAGCCGTTCCATCGGTTGATACGGCAATCAACCTAGCTGATCTCACACGTTAGGCCAGCCACGCACCACATCCCGCGGTGTGCTGCCGGGAAATTCTCGCAGCACGGCAGCACACAATGCAAGGCCCTAGCGCCTTTGCCGCGCACTTCTTTGTCGCGACAGCCTCACACCCCCTCTGCTTGGAGACCCCACTTTTGCACCCTATAAAGGACTTCCTAATGTTCCCTAATCCTGACTCGTGGCTTTAATGTAAGTTAAAGGCAAGATTCGGATAAAATAGGTGTGGAAAAGCGTTCAGTTATGAAGCTAGAGGTGGGAGGTGGTCTGGAAAAGAGAAGGAAAGCAAACGAAACCACCGATTACGCCCCGTACAGAGACCTCCCCTATTTCAGCCACATTCCACCTTGGGATAGAGAAGGGGCGCGTTGGACGAGTTTCACGAACCTAACTCTACTTGCTCCAGTGCCAATGACATTGGGCATGACGACTTCGGTCCAATGGACCGCTGCCTCAAATACGCCCGCGCTTTCCAAGCCAGCCCATCGTAGCAACCGACAAGCGTTGGTGGGCGGTGGGCTTCGACGATAGGGTCGGACGAGAGCTCCTTGCGCCTTTGTCGCGCACTTTCAAGCCGCAAAAGGGGCGCGACATCAATCAACGTTGCCTGTCTACCAACCCGAGGACTGAATAGGCAAGCGCGCCTAATCCCGTAGCGTGCCTTCAATGGGTGAGATACCTGACGCAAACCCCATGACACGTAAGGTGGATTACACGTAACGACTATTAAAGTCGGTTCGCGCAATCAGGTTGAGATCGTGATTGGGTGTGCGTGCGGGTTAGCGGGGCTGAGGAGCAAGCAAGTTCAGAAAACTCGTCCGACACGCTCGTTCGTTTTTCTCAAGGAGGATGTGGGGATAGGCTCTCCTAACTAGGAAATTCATCAGCAATGCTTTGCTTCTTTTTCGTTTCCAGTCGGTTCGGCATCTGCATTTTCACTATCGACCGCTGTTACCCCACCAACTTGATGTAGGGTTGTTGCTTGAAAGAGCAGTAGCAAAAACTGTAACACCTAATTTGATCGTTTCAATATTCAATAACCACACTCATATTCGAAGGTCTCGCCACCGATACAAAACTTCTCAAAGTACTGTGAAGCACCACTCGAGCACAGTTCAAATTGAGCGATGAGTTTTTATTCAAAGTTCGCGAGTTTAATATGCTTCCTGATCCGAATTTACACTTTCCTGGGCCGAAATTTCACAAAGTCCAGTGTCCGGGTTAGGAACTTCCATTTCTGCTGCTTCCCTTCTTCGTCTTAACATATCCTCATCGAAGTCGCCTATCATGGTCCATCCTTCTTCAAGATCAGGATGCAGTTTCCTGGGACTTGCCACATTCAGACAGCGTTTCACCGGCCGTGTACCACTTCACTCCTGGGAAGTTTCCCCTGCAAAAACATATACCTTTCCTTCAGAAGAATTCCAGAGCTTGTGGAAAAAAATCAGGCCTTCTTGGGTAAGAATATTTTCCTAGTAGAAAGAACATTGCTAGCCAATGAGGTGGGCGAGCTGAATTTGATCCGAATATTGAATAAATCTCACTGCGGATAGTAGTGGCAAACAACGCTTGTTTGATCGTCGTCACACTTGATCACTCCACATCCCACTGAGTATGTTCTGTCCCAGAAAATCTTCAAAATAACGATTATTTGTCCACATCAACGCTCAGTGTAGGTGAATGTGCCAGAAAAAAATTTCTGTCGCAGTAAGCATGAGGGTGCCAGAAAGGGCGAAAATGGTTAAGGCCGATGTCAGACTTTGCGAATCGCGCGATTCGCTACTAGCGATTCGCGCGATTCGCTAGCGTCCGCGGTCGCGTTGCGGTACCAGCCAATTGAGTGATTCACTGGCCGCGACGCGACCGCAGACGCTAGCGAATCGCGCGATTCGCAAAGTCTGACATCGGCCTAAGAAAGATGTGAGTGAGTGAATGAGCTCTCCCCAGAAGTGTCTCGGATACGAATCAAGATCAGCTTTCATAAGTGCAAAACAGAAGAGGGATTCTCGAGTGGAAATAACCTTCATTCGCGTTTGCTCCAGTACACGTAAGCAGATGGTTTTGAACCTGCACGAAGCACAGGATTTGCACCCTGTGGTGACCCATGATGCCCAATGGTTTCTTCAGAACAATTCCTGCAGAGGGCCAAATCGGGGCGGAAGTGACGACTGTAGTCTATTGCGGATGGCCGATCTGTTTTCGAGACAAAAACTGACCTGTGTCGCATGGCCGGTTTGGTGAGTCCATTCATTGATGTCACGCTCAACGCCGTATTTTCGAAGTTCGTCCGCCCACAAGGATACGGATTCCTGAAGAATATTGAGGTTTTCGCGTGGGCAGAATGAGATCATTTCTGAGTTGTCGGTAATTTGTGGCTGTTAATAACATGATAATTTATTTTGAAGGTGACTAGAAAAGAGATCATCGAGAAACTACGCCCACAATTTATGTTCTTGGGATATTATGTCTATTTA